CTCAAAGCCCCCCAAACTGAACTCAGGACTCCCTTTCTATGTCATGTCTTTTGGGTCTATGTTTCAGGCAAAATCTTTTTGAAAATGGTAATATGTGTCATACTACAGCATCAACTCCAAAAAAGTGCTAGTTACCTGACCATTTTCCCATTATTCAAAGAGGATGGCTTAATTTTTAATACTGAGTCAAAAAAAACTCGGGCTTAATGATTAGTAATCTTGGTGCCAAGATCAGAGTGAAATGGACAGTTCAACTTTAATAACCAGGGGGGACTCGATGACCTGATTATTTATATTTCAGTATTCTCCATAATCTTGCTATTTTATTTCATCCACATTTTCCTGATCTTTGTGTTTTATTATATTTAATTGTCATTATATGCCACGTGTTGTTATAATCTCGTTCGAGTCCCTTGTGGAACAAGGCAGAGGATAAATTCATTAAACTCAATGAAGCATACCCAGTTGTCTTCACCCCAAAGTGCTAAATTTTACAATGCTGATTTAATGACTATTGAACATTACTTTTGGTTCTTTATTTCAAATTTAACATTGATTAATACTGAGATTAGGCCATTAGTATTGACGTAAGCCAAAAGTTGGACTATAGCCACACCGTATTTATAAATTCAGTCATTTCAAGGTTATGTTGTGGTAGAAGTCAGGGTCAGTGATGATCTGATGGATTGGAAGATGGGTGGGAAAAACTCTTGGAGCAGTCGGTCCTTGAGCTGTGATTTAAAGAGGAGAAACTTGTGGTTTGGTTCTTGTTCCATAGATATGGAAAAAATGGAGCAAAGGCTCACAGCCAGGAGAGGAAGAACCAGTGGAAGGAACCACATGACAATAAATTTAGTTGGTCTGGAAGGTGAAGGCTAGGCTAGAGGAGGAGATGGAAACAGAGAAGGCTGGTCAAGCTGGGAGACGCCACTGGAAGAAACACTCAGACATTTGTGTTTGACTGGAAGTGCGATAGGAAATCAACGTGAGGCCACAATTCATTAGAGGATACGGTCACAATGGTGAACAAGGGAGACAAAAAAGTGATGCCTTCAGAAACTGCAGCCCAATGAGCATAATTTATATACCAGTAAACCTTCATTATAAAATCTTTTCAGAAACTGGTAAGCTGCATTTGTTAACTGATGAGTGAACAAATGGCTTTGCCAGTTGTGGGTGGGTAATTCAGCTTATAGAACTCAAGTAATAAGGTAATTACTAATCAGGAGGGTGGTCTGCCAGAACTTCCTGTGGGAATGTCAAGAGAAATACTAACAACAACAATAACAACAACAATAACAACAACAACAACATATGTCTACACACACACATTCGTGTGTCAGGCACAGCTTTGACAAATCTACAGGAAAACAGATGAGGTAAATAAAATCCTTGCCTTTGGGAGCTTTAAAGCTAAAGGTAACATATTTATATTCATTCAACAAATTCTTACTCAACACCTAATCTGGGCCAGGCTAGTGGTGGAAGAGAAGATATAATTCTCACGGAGTTTAAAGTCTATCAGGATACAGAGAAGAAGGTGGGCAGTTAGAAAATACAGTGTAAAAAGAATGTCTAGCTCTGGCTGTCTGTATTTTCCCTACAGGCACCTAGCTGTTCAGGGTGTTAAAACCACCAAATGTGTACAGCATAGAGCAAGTTGTGTTTCTAAAACCTGGGGGAGTATGATGGTGATAGAAGAGCTATTTTGCTAAGCATATTGGAGTGAGGGCTCCTAGGGGCATCCCTTATTAACGATAATGAATCAGTAAATTGCATTCTAAGTAGAATGTGGATGGTTATCTTTAGGGTTTTTCTTTTGTTGAACTGAGAATCCAGATCTGATAGTTCAGGGGAACTATTCACAGCCAACAAAAGAGAAGCTAATTGCAGGCTACCTCAGTAGTTTTTCTTTTCTGTTCTTTCCCCAGGTAGCATATGACTTCTTCTCTCTGTAAATATTTAAAACACTTATTGATTTGAAGAGATAGCCATCGTCGGCTTATTTTCTCTGTTGTTGTTGTTCTTGATTCCATGCAGTATTGTGCTACAGAGCGTGTGAGTGGGGCGCTGTGATGGTTAAATTTATGTGTCATCTTTACCGGGATACACAGTGCCCCTGTATCGGTTAAACATTATTTCTGAGAGTGTCTGGGAGGGTGTTTCTGAATGAGATTAGCCTTTGAATTGGTGGGCTGCATAAAGCAGATTGCCCTCCCCACTGTTTGTGGGCCTCACCAAACCTGTTGAAGGCCTGCAGAGGATAGCAGCATGAGTAAGAAAGCATTTTTTCTCTTTGCTTGACTGTCTTCAAGCTGGGATATTGATCTTTTCCTGCCTTTAGACTTGGACTGGAACTTATACCACTAGCTCTCCTGGTCCTGAGGCCTTTGACCTCAGACTGGAGCTGCACGATCAGTTCTCTTGGATCTCTACCTTGCTGACTGTAGATCTTGGACTTAGCCTCCATAATCATGTGCACTTATTCCTCACAGTAAATCTCTCTCTCTCCCCCCTCGCCCCCTCCCGCCCCCTCTCTCCATCCCCATCTACCACCCTCCCTCTTTGTCTTAATCAGATCACAAAATTCAGGCTTCTTTTTCAGAATGCTTGTAGATCCAAGTAATATAACCTAATCAAACTTGTTTAAATAAAGGAGATTGCTCCTTTTCTATCCCCTCCACTCCCCCTTCCCCCATATAACTAAATACTTAGGAATGGGTGAATCCAGGACACAAAGCATGGTGTCAAAATTATCTTTTTTCTTTCCTTGTCTCTCCTCTTTGTAAGTTGGCTTCCTTATCTCCCATACTGGACAGCCTCCTTCACACAGCTGGGAGAGATGAAGAACACAAGAAAAACACAGACATTTTTCCTACAACTCAAGATTGTGAAGGAAGCAAGAATACCATCCCCATACTACTCAGCAGAAAAGTCCAGGGAGAAATCCGAGTGGCCATGTTTGTTCACGTGCCCATTTCTAATCCAGTCGCTATGCTCAGGGACGATAGATTTTTCTGTTTGACCGAGTTTGGGTCATTTGCCTACTTGATGGACTAAAAGGTGGTGTTAACCCTCCTTTTCCCTAAAACACGTGGAATGGAAAAGGGATAAATCTCTCAAATTAAAGGTACTAGTGCTACAAGATAATGTTTTAAAAACTGTTGCTCTAGTACAGTTAGATAAATGAACACATGTTAAGAGTTTACTCACTAGTCAATGAGGGGACCAGACCAATGTTATAACATACTCAAAAAAAGAAACTCACCAGGGATATTGAAATAAATGTGCAAATGGAGGCAACATTACTTTTTTCAAAGAGTGGGAAGAAGTCGACTGGACCTCTACCAGACAGGACAAAGCTATCGGCAGGAACTATTTTGCATTGCTATCAACAGTTACCTACAGTTCATAGATTTGTCTGACTCCCACAGGATCAGAATCTGATAACCCAGAGGAGTTGTCTCAAAATCTAGTTGCATAGTTTTCAACTGGAAGCACAAATATTTTCCCTCCACTGGGCAGACAGACAACATGTGTTCACTCAACAAGGGTTTCAGTATTTGAAGGAGAAATATTTCTCTTTCTAATTCCAGGTGGTACCAGCAGAAACCTTACCCAAGTTCAATTGCAGTGGGTGACCTGTGATTCCTTGAAATACCGACTATGCCTCAAGTTGCCTCTGTGTCCTCTGGGCCTAACACACGAGAAATGTTTATGAAGTGTGTGGAATGGATGCTGAATAGGGCACCTGTTCTGTAGACTTTCTCTGAAACAATAGAGAAACATCCCTACCTTCACGTAAGGTAGAGCCATTTCTAGAGCCCTAATTTCTCAGCTAGCAGAAGAGCCTTGCCATTTGATTACTATAAAATACTTTGCATGGACTTAAAACATTAGAAGTTTGAATTTTTATTATAGATTACCCAAGGTTGAATTTGGTTCTGCACAGAAATTATTTCTGTGGTAGTTGGCGACAGTAACACTGAACGAGCACAAGAGATTATTATTGTTGCCATAATAACTACAGTGTTAGATGATAGAGACTCTCTGGGGTTTGCATTAAGCTACAGTCTATGTTGAACAGAGGGCAATGTCACTTCCAACTCCTCTGAATAAGATGTTTCCAGGGATCCAGTCACTCCCAACTAACAAGATATGTATTTACTAGCCAAGAGGCTGCTGCTAGGCTAATCCTCAAAGAAAAACAAACTCAATAGGAAGTAATGGCTAAAACATATACGGAGGAAGAAAACATAAACTAAGCTACTGTAGACGCAGCATGGGACCTAAAAGACCGAGCAGTACAGGAACTGCAGGCCCAGCAATCAGGAGAGTTTGACATAGTTGGTTTTACGTTTTAAGCGAATTGCCTCTTGATTGGGACACCATAAGAGAAGGTGACATCAGGACAGTCAGACTAATGGTTACCCACGAGGAAAGACAGAATTTCATCTGCCTGTAGCTTCACAAGGTCGCCTTCGTTGCCTGAGTGTGTGAATCTGTGTGATTCTTGGAAAATGTGGGACAAGGAGGACTGTAATGGGAAGTATAGCCAATTGGAGGGACATGGTCTAATAACCTAGCATAGTAAAAGGTAAAAATATCTTTTTTCCCTTATTTGGTGAGTCAGTAAAGTATGTGTAGCCATTACCCTAAGACTTCTGTGTTCCTTTGGGCAATAAAATATATATTTAGTTGTATATTTTAAAAAAATGTACTCAGTATTAAAGGAAGGACAGCTTTGAGCCAGGCAGGACTCCTCACAATGAAATCGAAAGCTATAAAAAGAGAGAAGAATACATAATGGACTGAAAAAGGTAGGGAGTTTCAGAATCTCCAAGGGAAATGTTGGGAGAACGCAAAAGGCTTCAGCGGTGGGTGCTTTCAACACCAAGTCAGGCCAGCACTCCTGGAGCGGGTGTGTTCTCCACCCCCCCACCCCCCCCCCCGCCCCCCGCACCACCCCCGCCCCCATGCCATGGCTGATATCTACAAGGCAAGGAGCTGCCACCAGCACCTGGCCGGCTCATTGTCTGTGCAGCACCCTCCCGAGAGAAATGACATTCCTCTTTCCCAAAGCAAGTTGGTTTCAATGGAAGCCTTTTCTTTCTTCACTTCCACGCAATTTAAAAACAAACACGTAAGTAACTGAAAAGCAACCCAGAGACGAAAAAGCCGTTGAAAAGAACGGACCACGGCACACTCATTGTTCGTGCCTGTGTGGGCAGCGCGTCGAGGCGCCCGCAGAGCGGGCACACACATCTGCTAGCTGGGGAAATAATTAACTGCCGAAATTATTTCTGACTGCTAAATGAAGGAGTGAAACTGCCCTGCCGTGGGCCAAGTGTTCACACAGAAAATCAGCGTTCTCTAGGGAAGGGGGGGAGGGAGAGGGTGACTTGGAAAAACTGAATATTGGAGTTTTGGAGCAGGTTGAGAGGTAACAGGAGGGGAAAGATTTCATCTCTGAGGTGGTCCCATTTTAAATATGTTTTAGCCTTCTTACAGAAAGTGGCTCTCTGTGTACGTTTACACACCCGCCTGCGAGCCAGCGCTGCCCGGCCCCCCTCCGCTACCCCCTTTTAAAGCAACAGCTGCTCATTCATGGGACTGTGCAAACACCTGGGCTTCTTGGCTGTGCATGTGTGTTTGTGTGTGTGTGTGTCTGTGAGAGGGCACGCTTTATGAGCTTTGTGGAATAGAAAGCTGTACTCAGCCCTAGAAGATACTGTGAAGGACAGAAGCTGGTAACATGATGTCCTCACAGGGGAGTGGAGAGTGGAGCAAAATAGGATTGTCTCAGACCTATGATTTCGCTGAACTCACTAAAAGCAAGGAAGAATTGTTTTGTTTAAAAGACGTTCCCTCTGAGACATTAAAATTAAGAACAAACTGAGAGTAACCAGAGTGGAGGTGGCAGGGAGTCCATGAGGGCAGGAAAGGAAGAAGGGTTTTCAGGAACATCTATAAAGGACATGTGGACAAAATTAAGGGGGGGCGGTGGGATCAGGGGTGGGAGGTGAGGATGGCAGGGGCATGGTGGGGGGAAATGGAGACAACTGTACTTGAACAACAATAAAAAAAGTTAAAGAAATTAAATAAAAAAAGAAAAAGACATTCACTCTGAACCAAACTGTACTGCAGCAGTTGTAGCGGTGGCCCACAGGGTACAGACCAAGGAGGCAGGTGAGGCTTGCTTTGAGTCCTCGCTCTGCTGTGCAACTGGCTGTGTGACCTCGGGCTCATTAATCCGCCTGAGGCTGAGCTGCATCACCTGTAAAATGGAGACAAAGAATATCTACCTCACCAGGTTCTTGCAAGGATTAAAGGAGTTAGAGTGTACATTAGATTAGTGCAACATATGTATAAGCTTGGAGAAAACACTATTAATTCTATTATATGTTATCTTGGTGTTATGCTAACTTATTCTTTCTGACATGTTAATTGTTATAATGTTATAAAATGTTGTTCTGAAATAATATTTCCAATTCTTGAGGAAGATGGCAATGAAGAATCTCTCAGTGTCATCTGAAGAGAAACGAATTCTCCTTGAGAAGACATGCCTGCTTTCTGGTCCCTTTCACCTGTAGCTAGCCATGACACAACTGTTCCAACACATTGTTTCATATTCTACAATGACTCAAGGGTTCTACCGAAACTCATGATGAATGAGAGAGTGATGTGAATGTAGAATTAGCAAATGCAATGTGCATGGTCTGTTATTGTTTTGCCTTTATTTTGCAGAGCATGGAACTCACCAGAGCCACTTCCCTGCAGTTTTCTGATGACAACCCAGTGAGCTTGGACCATCAGTTACCTTGCTCAAATGGAAGATGGATGAACTACTTTGCTTTTCAGGCCCCCAAGCAATGCAGCTTTGGCAAGGAGTAGGAGTCACCACTAAAATAAATCCATTTTTCAGGGGTGACATATTTTGTATTTATTCCAATTTGTAAATGTCTTCCAGTTCGGAGGAAAATGTAAGGAAATTCCCTGGAAGATGTTTTGAAATTTAATTAAAAGACAGTTTGAAAACATATCCCTTGTGCTTTGCACTTGTAAATATGAGCATATCAGCAACTTGCATGGCGATGTGAAGGCTCTCCTCCTATTGTTGGTTGGGTAGCTCTGCTTGGGAACTGTGTATATTAATCTTCTGACAAAATAGCAGTGTGCCACTTTTGCACAACTGGGCCCTGTGCGTAACTTCTGTGCAGTGTATTCATAGGAAGAAAACCTGATATTTTAAATTCTCCTCCCTTCCTCTGGGAGGTTGCTGTATACTCAGCACAAACCCTTGCTTCTTGTACTTACAGAGCTGGACAAGTTCCCATTAAACTGGAGGCTGGAAAACAAAGGGTGCTCTGGTGGACAGTTTAGATAACTGGGAGCCGCTATTCTCCAAGCTTCTTGTTACTGGAATGAGAGAATGGCCTGGCATTTGAGTCTGAAATACTCAACACCTCTGGCAAGTTCTCTGATTAACTCTGCTTTTCAGTTGATTCATTGGAAACTGAAAGAATCTTTAAATTCTTTCCAGCAAGTATTTATTGAACACCTGCTATGTACTAATGCTGTTATCTAATGCTGGATGGTACCTATTAAATAAGTCAAGGTTCCTGCCCTTAAGAAGTTCACAGAATAATTAGGGAAGTAATATTGGCAACTTGGAAGAAATACTACCTCTCTTAAGCAGTTAACCCCTGGACACATGATAATGTAATTCAGTGAAGTAACACCTTTAGCCTTTGGAATCTTAGTAGCTACCTGTGTTTAATACCTCCTCTGAAATGTTCAGTAGAGTCCTTAGGAGTAACTTATCATAGGGCAGAGTTTTGCCAACTGTATAATAGAATCTGTGATAAGAGTCCTGTTCTTAACACCTTCTGGGTTATTAGAGGGAAGTGCTTGGAATGTCTTTGACCCTTTATTTAAGGAAGGGGTGAGGGCTCTTCTGGGAACACTTAGAACCCTCAATAAAAGTATACCCTGTTAAAGAATAGAGTACACCCTGTTTACAGAGGTGAATCATCTGAGCCTCCACATATTGTTTCTGTCCACAGCTGGCTCTATTTTTTCCATGGACTTTGTGGCCGGAGGGAAAAGGGGCAGTTAAACTGTATGATACTCTAGAACTAAACTTTGGATTATCCTAAAGTTCATACCTGTGATAATGTGTTTCAGAATTTCTTACAAAACTCTTTGACTATACTGTTTAAGCACTTACAGACATCTATTTAACTATATTTCAGTATTTAATGAATTGACTAAAAGAAGATTGAAATAACACTTAACTTTGTTCTTGCTGGGTTCCTTATGTAGCATATTAGAAAGAGATTTTTGATTTTATAAAGACTGATTCTCTTTGTCCTTGTATGACAGATATAGAAAGTTTAAGAGGTGCTTTGCTCAGCTGGTATTTAGAACAGGTAATGGAAAATTATAACTGAGTTCCTTACCATCAAGGTATAGGGTTACGCTTCCTGCCAAAAAAAGCTCCAGTTTCTCCATATTCCTTGGATGCTGCCTGCATTCCAAACTAATTTTTGTAACAAGGACCAGAGATGCCAATATTGACTTTAAATATTTTTAGGATCAGTAACGTCAACACTGATCTTGGTTCATATCTTCATGTAGCCCTGGGTACATTAGCTGCATTATAAGCATCATGTTTTGAATTGCACCTGTTTTATGACAAGGGCTAAGAAAATACAAAAGAAAGGAATGGGGCTTTCACATTTCCGTATCACTACTTGTCTTTTGGAGTTGGACTGCACATTGTCCATAAATACATATTAGGTGTCTAAAGAAATACCAAACTTCTGTCTGAATAAAATTTGAGGAAGGTAATAGTAGTAAGTCAGAAGATTAAATTTTATTTTCTTAATTCCAGAATACTTAGTCCAGCTTGCTTTTATGCTTCATAAACATTACTTAAGTGAAGGATGAACCTCATTCATTTGTACTCTAATTTGTTAGGAGTTTATTTACATTTAAACACTTATTATCTTAAATCACTTATTTCTGTTTTTCTTTCATAGAATATGACAATGTCATAAAAAGGACAATTTTCCCCCAAGTCTTCTTGCTTCCTTTATCTTTTCATTCCATCCTATGAACTCCATCATATCCATCATATTATCCTATGAATTTACTTCTTATTATTGCTAGAGACCTCTAGGGTATGAGTAAAGGCAATTATTACTTGAATAATGCCTTGGTGAGAATTGACAACTAAATCCCCATGTTCCCTCTCCCCCTTTTCTTTTCAGGAATGGGCTCTTTGTGAAGAAAACCTTAGAAAATGACCTGAATTTGATGCTTTCTTGCTTTAATGTTCAAGTATTTACTAAGCTAGTGTTTTAAAAAACATATTTGTAAAACATATGTTTAAAAAACATTTTTCATGTGAACAACTTATAAGGATTTGGTGTAATCTTAAGATTTAGAGTTTCAGATGGAGTTTTGCAAAATACGGTTACATCTGTTTTTAAGGCACTCCAGACTAGTTGCTTTATGTGGGTTTGGTGTATTGGCCTTAACTTTTGAAATCAGTGAAATCTCGGATCTTGAGCTTAATTTGTTCCTGAAAACTGTTCAAGTTTTGGTTAGAAAACCAAATCTCCTTTGTTTGTCGGGAGATGTGTGACTGATTGCACAGGTGTCAGCATGAAAGGGTTGTCGGGGAAAGAATTGAGACCCAAAGTTTTGTCAGACAACTGAGACATTTTTCCTGTGAACAACTTGGTCAAGAACCGAATTGTTCGAGAACCAAGACATTCAAGAACCGAGGTTCAGTTGTATTCCTTAGGTGTAAAAACCACCTCTAACAAATTCAGAAGTGAGGCTAAACACAAATTCTTGTATTCCTTACAGGTTCAAAAATCTTACTCCCCCTACCCCAAAATGGTGTGATGGATCCTATATTCAAGGCTATGAGACTCAGATGAAAATATGAGGACGTTCAATGTTAGAATAATCCTTTCTGAATGCAGACATTACCCTTCTCACTCCCAGCTCATAGTACTCTCTCCCTATTATTTTTTACATGTTCATAGATTTTTCTTTCATTTCATAGTCTCTTGCATACAGTGTTTACTTGTTCCGCACATATGCCTGTGTGATCTACCTACTGGAATGAGAGGGTCTTGAGGGCAGTCACAGCTTTTTAGTTATCGTGCCTTCCCCGAATGTCATACAAATGTCTAGCAGGATACACAGAATGGGCATAAACAGAATGCCTCCTGAATGCGTGCTTGCTTGATTCAGAGGCTTTTTGTTTTGTTGTGTTGCGGTTCTCTGATGTGTCCCGAGCTGCAGAGAGTTAAATAAAACAATCGTGCACACAGAAAGATGTTTGTGTTTTCACCTGAACACAGAGGCAGGAAGAAGTAGGATGATACTCAAAATGGAAAAGGAATTGCATGTGGTGTCACACCCTCTGCAGACATTGTCCCTGCAGCCGAGGCATCACAGGAAAGCATCTTTGCCTGTGAAGGCTTTCTGAGTGGTCCCATGTCTCCCAAATGTGACCCTTTCTCCTTTCTCGATGGGAAACATTAATAGGTAGATTTCTCAAGTAGCTCTTTTATGCTTGCTATTGTTGCAAATAGGAGCAAGCTCTTGCAAATTAAACTTTATGTTGGTTAAAACCACCCCTGTCCTTAAAGTGCCTGATCTGGTTCTCTCTCCCGCCCCCTTTTTTATTTTCAGTGCTGGCTGACTCTCTGGATTAAGTGTCATTAATCTTTTCTCCTGACTTCTCTGTGTTTTTTTTTCTGCCCTCTCCCGTCTTCACTTCAAATTGGACATACTTCATAAAATGACGTCTAGGTAGTTCAGCCATTCTATTGAACTGAACTTAAATTTTGGATGAAATACAATTTAAGTGATTTTAAACTTAAAGCTAATGTGAAAATGTTGGAATATGTACCAATATAAACATATTAAACTTAAGGGCATATCAAATACAGTGCAAAAATTACAATGTGTTCCTTCTGTTAGAAATCTTAAAGTATATAATTCACCTTCTGAGTCATGATGTAATTTAGATTATATTTTATTAGACATTCTTTACAAATTTAAAATACTGCTATTTTTACATGCAGAGGATAATTATATTTAGGCATTCATGAAAATCAACCACAAAATAGAGACACTTTATTGTGTCATTTATCAACATACTTGATATGTATATCTAAAGTGCATTATGTTACAAAAAATATAGAAATTCAGCAGCACCAAGATACATTTACAAAATAAATACATCAGTTGACAAAATAAATTATGGTAAATGTGACAATAATAACTGGATTAGCCTTGGAAAAAATATTCACAATGACCAATGTGCAGTTTCATAGAGCAATGAGGGAGTCAGTTTTATTCCAATGCATTTACAATATTTACAGACAATAAATATTTCTAATACTTTCCATATGTTCACTATTACAGAATCCTGCAATATGTCTTCTGAAGTTCTTTGCAAAAATTTCAATGCCTCCTGAAAAGAGAAAGAAGGGAAAGAAGAAGAAAAAACAGGTTAATTTTCCTTGCAAATAAAGAGACATAAAATAAAGGGCATAAATTAAGGAACACAGACTCATACAGAAAGAGATATGGGGGACTTTTTGTAAATATCTCTTACAGGAGGTGACCGTAGGGCCCACCTGACTTTCTAGAACCTCTGCTAGAGTCTTTAGTCCAATCAAACGGTCAGGGTCACGCAGAAAGAGAAAGGCTTGTGTTTCTAAGCACAGTCTGTCAGAAAAAAGGAGAGCCTGTGAGATTTTCCAGTGCCACCAATTGGCAAGTTTGGGAAGAGAAGGCACACATTTGAGAATTTGGAAATAAGGCCAGGTTGTGCAATCCATCATCAAATATACGTTGCTTAGAAGTTTATTCCCTAGTGATGCCTGCTGTAGGTAATCCACTGGTGTCTTATTTTTCCAGGTTCTCATTTGGCCAGTCTCTTTCTAAGAGAATGGGCTGTTGCGAGGGTAATCAAAAGTGTATGACTTGGGATAAAGGTCGGAAGGATGC